ATATGCAGATTATCAAAAGTAAAGTTCTTCACAATGTGAAACCCAAACTTGCCTGCATCAACCAAGAACTAATGCTCTCCAATTTACCCCCCACCCTCAACTATAGACCTGCCATGAACTTATTGCATTGTAGAGAAATTCATTTTTTCTATAGGTCTAAAGCTTTATTTTGCCAACAATAAAGGATTAAGAAATCAAACCCAGTGTCACAAATCAAAGAATGTAAATCAAATTAAAAACAATCGCAGTCTACCTACAAAAAATTTGTAACATGACTGTGCTAATCCAGTAAAGATTAGTATAATCCAGGATTAAAAGCTTCTGATAGGCTACTTAGTCCACCAACAATCGGAACAAACTCACCTCACAAAAATCTCCCAGAGAGTTTCATATACAATTACTGGACCAACAACTTGGAATCTAAACATTAAAGACACAAAACCAACAGGGCAAAACAGAAAAGTAAACTCTCTAAATATCATAATTACTAAAGATAACACACTCAAAAATGACAGGTCCCCAGGGTGATCGGCCATAAATCACTGAACCTCACTGGGGAGTCGAAACTTACACTCCCAAATGAGATCTAAACCCATAGTTGAAAAACTGAAAACAAACTCATCTGACCAATCAGATACCAGAGATTATACTAAATCATCCAAGGAATGCTGGGATTGCTTGGACTACAGTGTAAAATATCCTGAACATCTTGAAATGGCCTAAGAGCAAAAGGAACATTGAAGGAAAGATGCTGCATTAGATTGCATCCTGCCTATATCTTCCAACACATTCTGGATATATACCACCATACATCAGAGACAAGCTAACTCAATTGGAAATTGGAAAAAAGAACTGTAGAAAAAACAGGTAAACAAATTTGTTGACATCTGCATTATTCTGTAATAACTTTTCATAATCATTTATTCATTCACAAATAATATAATCATATACATCTTTGAAGTGGAAACAGCTAATCATATTTGTTGACATGTGCATTTTCCCGTTAATACTTATTTTCTTTCCAATTATTTGTTTAATATAATAAAATACATCTCTAATTGGTGGTAGACGTCCTGCCCTATCCAGGTGTCAAATAGAATGCTTCAAAATATGCAACTAATGAGATTGACCCTTGGATATAAAGTTTGCAACTAAAGGGACAGATGGATAGATAGGGATGTGTTATAAGACAAATTGTATTATGTTTGTATTTTATCAACAAAAGGGATAAATGGAAAGATAGGGCAGCAGAAAGTATTTCATCAATACAGAGTACAATTTTTTGATATTTATTTGATATAAAATTCTCCATTGTTTCCCAGAATTAATTCATTCCAGGATTTCGTGTTGTAGTTATAAATTGGGATTGATGAGATGTGTTTACTAAATATTTATCTAAGTCTGTATCTTGTCCGTTTAAACCAAACTTGTCAATACAAACTTCATATCTTGAAATCATCAATTTCTACCAATGTAGGTGTCGAAGTTAAGTAAGTGGATGCTTGAAAGTGCCAGAAATACTGTAAATTGTTTTGAGTCTGTGGCTTGTCAATCCTTTGAAGGATTGAAAAAATATTTTCATTCCAAAGATATTGTAGATAAATAAAAAGATTGTAGATGTTTACATTATTTCAAGGAACTCAACAGACTTTAGTTAAAACACTGATTTTCAAGAAAATATCTTAACGATACATTTTCTGTATATTGTTATAGTGTTCTTATTTGCATTTAATGCTGAAAAGTAAATACTAAAAGTAAAACTAAAGTTTTATGATATTTCTAAAAAAATGAGATTAGTCCAGCATACAAGCTGGGAAGAGTGTTTTAAGATAAAAACATGTTTATAGGGCTTGACAAAATGTAAATTTCTACTTTTCCTGGCCTGTATACAGGGCTATTCTGATCAGAAACAGTAACCAGTGGCCATAAAGCAGCCAGAAAACCAGATACCCAAAATATTTTTACTGGAGGCTATAAAACAGCTAATACGAACTAAATAGGGTCCTTATACCAGCTTATTAGGTGTTTAGTACCTATCAGCAACTTAATTCAGTATTTTCTTTCACAACTGTTTCTTTCATATGATCACCATAGCAACCACCAAGTTACCCTAGCAACCACGATTTAATGTAGTCTGCCCATAGAAATACTGCAATGATGGCAGTATTTTGACAAGAACAATGAATATAATAGTGTCAAAAAAATAAATATCCACACATGCCTGAGTACTCTAATGGTAAAAAGATCAGAAAACCGTTTACTTCATTCAAAAGAGAGAAAATGACATTGAATTAATCAAAAACAGATTCAACAAGTTTTTAGGCCAAGTTTTTAGGCCAAGTTTTTATGGTAATAAGATTTGTTGCTGGCTTTGTTGCTAGCTACTAGACCTACTGTTCATAATATTTATGTATTCCCATAGCTGATTAATGTCCCACATATGCTTTGCCTTTTGAAACTAAAGGAAATAATTTGCAGTGATCTGTTAACAGGGTACTCAAGGACTATAACAACAAATGTTAACTTCATAAATAATTCCCAAAGTCAAGAATCTGTTCATCATTGAGAGTGAATAAGCTAAAGGGAGTTAGTGTTGAACATGTGGAGAAAGAGAAACTGATTTTGCTGGGATATTATCCATAGGGCAGAACAAATTGTGCAAAGTGATTTTAAACATATGTAACCACGGTAACAAATAGGAGATTAATTCTTAAAAAATTGAGGTGCAAGTCACAAAGGACAGTATAAGAGGTAAGAATGTATTTTTATCAAATTTGCCTTGATTTTTTAAAACAGAACATCAGTGTTGAACCAGATTGGTTGATTGGCATTTATTTGGTTGATTGGCATCTTATGTTCCTCAGACCTTCTTTGATTGGCATACAGTTTGTCAGTGATTTTAAAATCTTTTACTTTCTCATTAAAGTTGTACAAATTTCTATTGCTCAAGCACTCCAAACATAGCTGAACTCTGGCCAAAGTTTGATATCAGTTCGCACCTGGTGGTAAATACAAATCCAATATGTTTCTAGTTGCTTTAAATCAACAAAATTTCACCAGGTAAATACACCACTTCTATATGAGTCAAACACTCCAAAAATGGTCATTAAGCTGATGTAAAAAGTGAATTGGTCATTAAATTAATAAATCAATACTACACATAAACCTATAGGTGGGCGATTTTAATAAACATATAGCACTGTATCAATATTTAACGTCTCAAAGAAATTGATTGTGGTCACAAAATTCTGAATTTTAAGCTAAAATTAACCAATCATATTTGTGCATCCTAAAATAAGACCACGATGAATCATGGGAAAAGGTACCATGCTTTGCATAAAACATAGTTGTGACTTTACGATTCTGACCTTTAGAGAAGCAATTTTTCTCTACCCAGGGGGAGAATAAAGCTAAACACAGTAATAAAGCATCATGTTTTAAATAAAATGTCATATATTGGTACTTATTATTGTATTTAATTAGCCAATTGGGAAATATAAGCTATATTTAACATCTTTAAGGAGGAGATCTTAAAGTGAAAATATCTGTCTTATAATGCTTGACAATTATGTTCTAAAAACATCTTGAGTTGGGTGATAGCCTTGTATTAAATCTCTGTGATATACCCTCTCTAATACTTTTCAATAATCCGATTTTACATCCATATCTTCATTTACATGTACATGTAGTTACTATTGCTAGACTTGGGACCTCAGGGTAGTTGGTTACTTTCTCGTGCTAAATACATTTTGAAGGGACAAAGTCCAGAAAGGGGATGGGAGACATACGTTAAGGTAGTATGCATGGTGAGTATTTTCATGCAGTTTTACAGGGTTGAATTGAAATTACATTTCACAAATCATGTTTTATTTTTTCTGATGTTCCGTAGCCAGGACGGAGGGAGGTTGGAGTGGAGTGATTTTGGCCATTTTTAGACCATAGTATCAAATGTGAACCCCCTGGAATTTTTTAAAAAGTGAACCCCCCTTGAACTCTATCGAATAGATCTCATGCTTATACATATATTTATTAAGACTTTATTTAGTAATAAGATGTAACACTAAAATAAGCCATCTAAATAATGTTCCCTTGTATAAAGCACATATGAAGCACATATAAATACACATATTCAAACCCAAGAATAAGGTCCTCCATGTCTACAAACCATATGGTTTGAAAATCACAAATTACTACATTGATACCAGATATCTATAAGACCATGCTACTAATCATTCACACACTTTAGAGTGTAATTTGATAATTAGCCTATTGACTAAAATCACTATAAAAGGGTATTTAGCCAAAATGATGGTGTGAAAAAGATTAAATCGGAAGCTCTGTTAAGACCACTTGTACACGCAGTACATGACATCATCAAAAGACTCGAAGTTTGCCCAAAGCAGGCTCAACTATGGGTAAAATAACAATACATTCCGCTTTGTTTTTTCATGCCGGTTTTCAAAGAGAGCAAAGTTCTTTTGGTTAACATTTTTCAATAATTTTGTACTTTTATGAATTCCACGCAGCTGTTTCCTAACAATGAGATAACATTTGTTGTAAAATTATTCATTAGAATGATGAGAAAATGGAGACAAAACATCTAAGTAAAATCAATAAGTGATCCATTAAAACAAATATAATCAAACGATAACCATTTAAAAAGAGTATATCAAAGAACAGCTATACTTGGCAAGGGGTAGACTTCTTAACTCTTTGAATCAGAAGATTTTCTTTGAACCAGCCTATAGCTAAAATACAGGGTGTCCATAAAGAACTTGTTACACTTAAAACAGATTTTGCATTGTCACTGTGAAGAGACTTCGTGGACCCCCCCCCCCCCCCCCATTGCTAAAGTTTATTTCAAAATCATGCAGTTTCTCTCCATTTTGAGCACTTTCAAGTGATTCTGGTCAAAGTTGTCAAATGTGAATTCCATCACAAAGTGACTCCCCCCACCCCTATGGCAAAAGCTGAATACGGGCATGGAGTATCATACATACCATATCCAGATGCTTGGTCTGAGTTTGCAGAAGCTCTAGGTACATTCCCAGGTACAAGTCCCACATATGCTCTAAAAATACAGAATGAAATCACATTAAGTCAGACACAAATCACTCAGAACCCATATTGCACAATTGATGCAATATACTAATAGAAGTTATATACTAGGAGGGATTGAATATTGGTTATATTCGCAATATAAATTATATTGCCTGGTGTTATTCACCAGGATATAATAGTATCATGGTACAAATATGAGTAAATTACTGTATATCACTCCTTAATAAACCTCGTGCACATGAAAAATCAAGGGATTCTAAATAAATGAAAAAATAAATTCCATAAATAGAGGGTCACCCTGTATGACCATAAATTAAATTCATATCTGGGGAAATTCTATTCTACCTTTCTACTTGGGTCCAGTCTACATTTCTTTGTATTTTTTTCAAAGTATATTTTGAGATTTGAATTTTGCTGGGTTTTAGAATGAAAATGGTGACAAGGTAAACCTAGCTAAAACTAACAGGGCAGAACAATCTAACATTTAGAAATATTAAAGATGGACAAATTCAGATATTATGCTTTAATCAAAATACAATTTTAAAAGTGACATTTTAAAAAGTAACAAAATTGAGAAATCATGACAAACACTGCTAAGATTTTGAACATACATCAAATAAAATAAATACAATAAAATAAATGTTTTTATAACCTCTATTGAAGAAGTGTAATCAAATAAAGTCAAAAATGGAATGCTAACCAAACATGGTGGTCTAGATGATTGATAATGTATCATTTTTTTATACATGAAATTCTAAATATCAATTTTCTCCCAATTAAGTACTTGAATAAAGCTATAAAGGAAACTTAAAGATTAAAGATAATGACATCAATATCCTTTGGTTTTTACCTTACTTCCACAGGAACAAATAGAAATAAAGAAAATCAAATCTCCAATATTCGAAATGCTTTTTAATATAAAATGATTTCTGAGCCTTCAATATGTAGTCATATTGTTACCCACAAGGGACAACCACAGATTGAACTTTGAGGTTACTTTAATAAATTTCATTTCTACCATATTTGAAATTGTATCAAAACCCTACAAGGCTAAAGAGATGAGACACCTTGGCCTATACTTCCAGACAACAACAGCTTCTATTTATGTGTTGATTAATTCATTTTGATTATTTACATATTAAAGATTGGACACATTGACACCCCTGTTATCACACGCCTCCATGAAGTGGCCGCCATCTGGGACTGTTAATAACCAAGACACAAAGCAAAACAACAATTAATAAAATATTTCCCACTAATACGAGCTCAGGCTCTGTAAAAACAAGGATGACACACACAATACAAAATATGAGTTATTTTTTGCAGTGTTGTATGTTTTCTTAAAGTTTATTCAGAAACGTCTGATTTATACCAGGTCATGCTAACCTGGGAAATGTCAGTAAAAGTTGCAATATTTGAAGAAATAAATTGATTGGAATTTCCACATAAAAAATCTTGTCAAAAGTTATTGGATTATACCAACTGCACAATGTAAAAGAATATCTGTTTAGGAGGGGCTTGTTCGTGCAAAACACGATGCGCGATACTCCTGTCATAGTCAATTCCATTGTCTCCAATTTCTTGACAGTAAAATTCTTCACTTTTATGCATCTCTGTACAATTTCAAATACAGATATTAGCATGGTCACTAAATTCCTTGCTGATTTCTTCCATTTCCACTCTGAATTCATTAAACCCTAGACTATTCATTCATAAGTCAGTCCTGTTAGGTGCTATTGATCGCAGGTATGTGTACTCTAACACTTTGCAATTGGATTAAATCTACAAATAATCATGTTGCAGTCAGACAAATTCCAGAAAAGATTATGACATCAAAACCAATTCCAGAAAGTTAATATAGACTATAGATTCTGTAAATGTATGCAGTATTTATGTTGGCCACAAAAATGTAAAATGTTGAGCAGTTTTGAATATCTAGGAAATATTTCGACATCAAAGGGCTCTGAGTTATTCTCATTTATTATCAAAGAAGGCCAGCTTAAATAATTATTTTCAGATATTTTTATTTTATGAAATGCAGCTGAAAAATTAAGATATTGCAAAATTGTCAATAAAATCATTTTGATCCAATTTTAATATATTCAAAATGAATTTTATCCAGAGCTACTTATTTGTGTCTGAATTTATGTCTAAACAATATCATCCAAAGATTAAGAATCAAACATATGACAGGTTTTTTCACTTCTATTGACAAAAACACGTACAGCACAAGTCTTCGACGTGCCTTATGTTTGTTTTAGTCGAGAATATGACAGCGCAGTGTCACCCTCGCATCAATCCACTTCTTTAAAGTTAGCATATAACAAAAATATATTCATCCTTAATTGAAATAATTCAAAAAGAAACCTCCATCAGAAATCCCCAAAATAAAAATGCAATCTTAACACAAAGGGAAACCAAGTGTCCATCGACTCCCTATTAAAAACGTGTCATTCATTCAGTTAAGATTGAGGATATGATAGTTGGTTATAATTGCTACTAATGGTCAGTCTGAAATTTGCAAAATGTGATTTATAATTGAGGGAGACAGTTCAAAGGTTGGAAGAGGCTGAAGTTGTCATATTTGTCAGAACACCAATTATAGGTTGTTGAAATGGGGATGGGGTTTCAAACTTGAGATTTTAGATATTAAATGTTGATAAGGACAACACCATTGTTAGAGACATAACTAACTTTTTTTTTAAATATTTTTTAATTATTGAACCAGCTAATGTTACAATCTGATGATTTTTTATTTCACATGATCTTTATTAAAAAACACAACCAGAAAATCACAAGGGGCAACATTTCAATAAGTCAAACCCACTAAAAAACTGATAAATCATAAAATAGCTAGATTACATCAAGAAAATAATCCATTTTGAGCCATCTAAATCTCAACTTTTGCTACTCAACTGAGATTAACCTAATCCACTTTAATCCTCTTCTAGGCTAATGCCCCAGATCAGCTAAAACAACTTGAACTCTAAATTACAATGTTAAAACAACAACTCTATCTTAAATGTGTTGTTATTTGTGGTAAATGTACCATTCCCAATGAAAACACATCAGATCCCAGAAACTACCAAAAGGTGCAAAACTCATTTAATCTAAATTAATCCTATGGTTTCAATTACAATCAACTCTGTGCTAAATGGTCAAATCAGGTCATGTGACCTACAGGGGAATTATGGGATGGACCATCAGTAGCATCCAGTGTAAACTGAGATAGTAGACCATTTTGAAGAAGTCAACTTCTGGATTGACTGTTCTCATATTTTATTGACGTTGGCTCATGTTTTACAGGATGTGAACATTAACATTAAAAGGTTGGGACATTCTCAGACATATCGTTGTTCAAATGTCATCAAATTTCTATTTAAAATATTGGCGTTAATTGGGCTTACGTCATGTGGGCATTTGGTTTGTTTTTAATAACGCAATCCTATCAAAATCAAAAAGTCTTGGTATTAATATATGATTGCATTAATTATCATGAACATACATTTTGTACAATTCTTCTATACATAATTGTAATATGCCAGACTGAATCTCTGTAGTTAATATTGTTTTTAGGGGTTTTAATTTGCTTTCTCTCCAGTAAACAACCCTTGCATTTTCTGGTTTCCAAAATTGAATATAAAGATTTCCAAGAATGTTTCTTCAACTGGTTAAAAACTCAACTACCCTGACAAAAAAACAAAAGAATATTATTTCAGCAGATTTACGCTCTTTATAATCTTACCCTTCAACCAGGTAAATATACTCTAAACTGGACGCAATGTGATTTTCTAATTCTTAACTGGGAAGTACTGGGAAGATCAGCTGTTACAATTGTATTTTGTGTTGTATTTTAAGAGAAAATTATATTTTGAGTTTTCAATGATTTGAATAAATAAAATTATTAAGTAAAAATGTTAATATTTAATGAAAAGTCTAATAAAGCAGATCTCAGATATTACTCAAAGCAAATTTGTATCACATTAACTTGAACAATTATGGCCTACTCAAGTTTATTTCTTACTGTATTTTTACATACTGTATTACAGGAAACTGCAAATTCTGCATTGCATTTTGTAAAAGAAATGGTAACCATCTCTCTTAGAACATTTCTGCCAATATTCAATCATCTAATGAACAAATATGAATGTCGTGCAAATAAAGAAGCTTTCAAATTATCTGAGTGTTATTATACTGGGATTCCAATTGATAATAAGTAGTATTAATAATGATATAGTCAATTACTATAATAGATGCTTTTCAATTACCGTATATATTGCCAGGATTAATGATTATATTGGAGAACTCTAAAATACAATTATTCTTCCCAAATACATGGTACAGTGTGTTATGCAATTTCTGAATATGAGGATGGGGAATTGATATTTTATAACAAATATTTGATTTTAATCATTCTTTAGATTTCACATAAAGTTATAGACCAGCTAATTGTTCACCTCTACAGAGCTAGAAGTAGACTGAGTAGATTGTTCACCTCTATTGTCGAAATCAAGTGAACACACTGAATAGTTGACAGTAGTTTACAGGTTGATTTAAAAAAAAAAAAATTTCCTGGGGTAATATACACAAACTATCTACCTCTGATTAACCAATCAAAACAGAGGAAATAAATTGCTACACCACCAAAACAAGAAAGTGTATCTATGATATTCAATCATGCTCCTCATATGCATGATAATCATACAGAATCCTTCATTTACTATATGATACCAAGTGAAACAGTGTTGAAAATGCCATAAAACCCCACGGTTATAATCCACTTGAGACTGTCAATAAAGGCAGAATACACGCAGACATGTCAATAAGTTACTTTACAACTCTCTCTCTTAGCTGTCAACGAAGCTATTCATGAATTCAACACTGTAACACATGATACATCTGGAGATACTGTATGTGAATCTGCTATGGGAGCCTGCTTAAAAAATTACCAAATCTTTAATTCAAACATTGAAACATAAATTCACTTTATATATATATACTTTACACTAAACAGGTTTTATTAGGAGTACTAACAACAGGCAATTTGAAGGAAAACAACTGACTAAATTATCAGAAATTAGAATTTTAACATGGAAACAGTTGCTAAATTTCCTCAAACAACAGGTGACTTTGGGGAAAAACAAATAGAGAAAACTGACTTTTGTCTGTTGCTAAACCACTGCTTAGTGTATGAAATGATTCAACTGCTTTTTTAGCAGGTATTTTAGCAAAGATTTTATACCAAATGATCTGGAAACTTGGAGATCGAGACATGCAAAGAAGTTTTCACACTCAAAAGATGCAATTTAGATGATTTTATGTCAGTGCCCATTTGTTTGGCAAAACCATAAATTACACACAGTATTGTTGTTTTGTCAATATTGTTTTCATTAATCGGGTCTTTGTTTATTTTTGTTTTTTAAATGTTGCCAATTATCCTTTTTGATTTCAATGATTGTTTTTATTCATGAGTTGCAATGATCTAGTTGGAAACTTGTGTAATCAGGTCTTCTTAGTTATTTGTTTGTTAGTACAGAATTTCATAACAACGAAAAAAGGAATGATGAAAACAAAATAACAAACAATACAAAAAGGCAAACAGATGCGAATGATTCACAAAGTTTATCATCAACCTATGGACTACCAAAACAAAGAGTTCATTTTGAAGATAATACACTTCATCATTTAGGTAGCTTGGAGACATAACAGTAGTTGGTGACTTTCTTGGGAAACCATGTGGCACTCCCTTGAATAAAATCACACTACCAACATTTCCCTTTCCTCTGATTTGAGAACTAAAGCATGGGATTTACAGGAAATAAAGAAAACAGATGTGAAGTCAATATTGTAATGTGTATAAAATGCTAGAAAATCAAGCAATTTTTGAGAATTTACAGAGAAAATTCAAGAAATATCCATGACATTTTTCCAATGGGTAGTTATCAAAAAGTAAATGAATAGCTGATAAACACACCTTCTATTTTCTAATACACCATTGAAATTGCTATCTTTCAGATAATGGGACATTATACATGTTGAATGCAAATATCCGTATCTCAAATACCCTAAATATCTATAAACTAACTATATTTCCCTCTGAGTATTACTGATTCTTCTTTCGGTTTTGATCCTGGTATCAATTATCCCAAATATTCATCATTCATAGCTTTTTACTGGATTTGGAATGTAAACTGAATCTTAACAACAGAAAATTTTCGTCCTGGTTTTCCAAGGTGTGAGATTTTCCCACATTAGGAATGTTGGGGTCTAAATTATGCCCAAAAAATACTTGTTCATAGATGGCTCTGAATGGAGCATACCTCTTGGTATTTATAAATTAATAATTTTCTACTGTAAGATTTAGAATGCCATAGACTAGACAAGATGATTAGATACATGCTAAATCAAAGAAAAAGAGTAAAACAATTGTTGAGTTAAGACAACTAAGGTACGTATATTAGCCAGATTGATGTTGCTAAAGTTTTCAATCTCCAATGTTACCAAACAAAAGCTTAAGAAGTTTTTGAAAATTAGTCAAATTGAATATGAGTTAATCCTATCTGTTTTGTGAAACTGTAAGAAAGACATCAAAACAATAGGTAACATAACATGATATACTGAATTGCAATCAAATTTGAAGAGTATAGTAGCAATCAAAGTGAAGGTCTAACACAGGGTATATCTTAAGATAACTTAATAAGAATTTAGATTATTATTAAACAGTCATACCATCAGGTGAACTTTAAAGTGCATGTTGAATATGAGGATATTAGAAAATTTAATGAAATAGTGATTTCACAATTGAAAAGGAACATGGAAAACACATGATATTAAGGTATGGTGATATTTTAATGAATTTATGAATCAAACTACTATTTATTTAGCAAACTGAAGTTTCATTAGAATTTCAGGCTTCAGGGAAGCCGACAAGTTATTACGAATGATTGTTTTAACATAGAAAAAATCCTCAAAACAGGCGATTTTTGTAAAAACAACTAAAATAATGTCAATTGTTTGCTCCTAAGGAAGCCCATATAAATTGAAAAATGGTATCAAAACATGCTCCACAAATCTAGTTTATTTCACCGAGATTTTCTACAATAAAAGCAAATGGTATCATCAGTCATGATTCTAATAATGATCAATACTCAAAATAATACAATTGGAAAGGATCTGAAGATTTGCAGTATTTATCATCATATCGTAAACCTGATTTAAAGCGAAATATGGTATTATTGAGGCTATTTTTCAATCATAAATGTTCTTCCTTCATTTTATTCATTGTTTTCATCCGAAGGAAAGCTCTGGAGTCACGCTTCAGTTTGTCTGCCAGTATTTCAATTGGGGAAAAAAAGAATGAGATTTTATCATATGTTATACAATTTTTCAAACGTCAGGATCGTGCAAAACAATATGTATTGTGGGAAAATGAGCAGTAATCTCATAAACGACAATTCATTCGTAGCCCTGATATATTGAAATTGATTAAAAATGCATCATTAGCGTAAAACACTGGCTAGACTTTATATTCCCATGCATAATTTTCTTTTTCTTTTCTGTCCCTACTTTTTGATTGCTTCTTCTGAATTAGGTCATTTTGTATCTTTATTTAGTTCTGCATTAATGCCTCAGCCATACAGCAACCATATGGCAGCTGTAGCTTCCCAAATTGAAAATACAATGTAGATTCTCTATATCAGTTTTGTAAAACTACAGCCCCTTTGCGACTGACAAAGACCAAATGGGACCGAGGCTTAAGTCTCTGTCAAATTCCCTTCCATTTCAAAATAAAGGTTTATATTAGGATATAATCCAGGGTTTGGTGCAAGTATTTTAAGAGAATATGTAAAAGAGAGTGGAGAATAAGAAAAAAATTTCTAACTATCACAAGTAGTCTTTCATTAAACCCCCATTCCCCCTCCCCTTTCATCTATTTCTTCCTCTATATTCTGTATAGAAGTTGTGTTCGTTTGTGGGAAATATGCATGAGTTTGAAAAAAGACTATATCGCAAGATCTTGACATTCAAAGAGTTGCGTTTATTGTATAAATAAAAACGTCCTGCCACAGTTATCATCACTTATCAAGTCAGTCTGACTCTCCATGGGAAGGACATTTTTCTACAATTTTCTACAAATTACAGAATGTTGGGTTAAAATATAGACATCAGTGAAGCCAAAATGTAATTAATCACGTTTTAACTTTACCCCCTCCCTCTGGAATCATCATAACAAAACCACAAATGTTATAAAAAATTAAGTGAAAAACATTATGATGCCACAACATCATGAAATACCTTTCACCCCTTAATGTAATCTATTGCATTTTTTGACATAGAACCCATTATTTGAGTAATTTCTTGCTTGCAAATAAATTCACGTTTTTCACGACAGCTGATTAATTTTTTGCAATCTGTCTGGAGGTTAACCCTATCTGCAAGTTGCAAAGATTAGAAGTTAAATGGTTTTTTATTTATGGGCTCTACAGGGCAATAGATCTGCAATGGGGAATGATTATTTTCTGAGGATTACTCCCATCTTGCCCTTTGTCACATATTTCAGAGACAGTACCAACTTCAAGATTCAGAGGTCCAATTTACGAAGGTGTCATTACTTACAGTTTAGTTTAGGTTTTTGTCTGATTATGAAAAAAAAATAAATTGAAAAGTTAAATAGATCTGCAATGAGGAATGATTATTTCCTGAGGATTCCTCCCATATTGCCCTTTGTCACATATTTCAGAGATAGTACCAACTTCAAGATTAAGAGGTCCAATTTACGAAGGTGTCATTACTTACAGTTTAGTTCAGGTGATTGCATTGGTCAGCTGAAAAGGAGATCACGGGACAATTTTTGTCTGATTATGAAAAAAAAAAATTGAAAAGTTAAATCAGAGAAAAGAACATCAAATCTGTGTGTTATCGAATGAGACCTCAAATATACTGCTGTCCCAAACTGTTTGGTACCATCTGGAATTGTACTTTAAAACTTCAACTAAGTTTCTTATACTCCGGTCGTTGAGATATCATAAGGACCCCTTTAACTGACATGAAATGACTAATCATAATTCATAAAATGTTTTATTTGAATTTTTTCATGATGATATTCTTAATAATGAGCATTTGATACAAAGTATACAACCACATGTTTGACAAATAACAATAGAAAATATTAAACTTGTGTACCTCTGAAAATTGTATAAATAATTACAAACTTATCCTGACAAATGAACACTTGAGTTTATTCTTAAAACAAGAAAACAATTCCTTGAAATGGGATTCACAAAAACAATTTGCATTTCATGAAATTCTTCTAAAACAACATGAAAAAGATTAAAATGTCATTTTTCATTATCTTCAAATCATGAAACAAAAACATGAACTTTTAACTTTTTGATATTTTGATCAAAAGTCGAATGAAATCCAATAAAATGTAAAACTTTTATTAAAGAGTCACAATTGTTCAACGACACTCCAAACAAATGTTGTCAATATTTGCCGAAAATGTTGACTTTCAAATTCACGAAAGCCTCTGTTGAAAGCTGGGAATCGCCCCAATAAGTCACAGAGAAAACTTTAACCCGTATGAATAAAACAAGGTATTCAAAAATTACTTTAAAACACTTGAAACTGTACAGTCAAAACTGAAAGAGGCTAGCCTATGGGAACAATCAATGGTTAACCCATTCAAAAAATCAACAGAGATCTTTGTAATTTCCTGAATTTCTCAAAAATATTTGAATAAACTCTCTAATATTTTTGCATTTCTTTACAATTTAGGATATCCCCTTTGAGACTGTTTACTTTTTATCATGCTAATTTCTCTCATTTGTGCTGAAAATCGCAAAAGAAAACATGACCATGTACCAATTTCATGCCACTTTCTATATAGAGAATCATTGATCAATATGTACATGCTCTATAGAAGAGCTCATTCACTGCTGAGTACACACAAAGTAACACGGGGAATCTTTGCTCTTTTACATGCTAGAAAACCAATAACAATTAGAAGGTTGGTCCAGGTAGGACAAAAACCCACGACACATTCTGACAAACAAACGGAACTATCGTTAACAGTGGCAGTAACACGATAATAAACACTACAAAAAGATCAAACTAAATTAGCAGAACTCAAAGATATGGATCAGTATCAAGTCAAGTAACAACAAATTAGAAATAGTTGCGAGATGAAAAAGCAGTACCCTTATGATAGCTGGAGTAATTTTGACAGAAACATTTGCACAAATCATAAATATGCTTCCGGAAATCATGGATATTAAATGTATCACAAAGTGGAAAATTGCATACAGGTATTATTTAACAATGTATTGTGTATTAATATCGTATTATGGTGTATCATATAATGCACTCTAGACAGATCACAGACAGACAGGTATATTGATATAACATATGGTACATAAAATAAACAATATAGCATCAATATCATGTCAGGAGGGTTAGATTTTCCCATAATAAACACCAACATTGACTTTCAATGATTTTTATTACATTTGGTTGAGTCATTAAAATTCTAATTGAAAAAATCATATATTTAAATTATTTGAGGAATTTGCAGCATCATAAAATTAGTCAAACTACCCTAGCTAAGAATCTTACAAAGAAATGAAATACAGTCATGAAATTAGTAGCATTATCACCAGTACCCCTGTATCAAGGTGATATATCATTTTAAAGCTTATTGGTACACAGGGGGTTATAATAGCCAGTAGGTGGGACCAATGCCATTGATTAGCTTCTACCTAATCCTCAGTCTACAATAACATTATTCTAAATCACCCAGTTATACACCTTGAGTCTACTTTGACTACAATACCCCCAAAGTCCAGTCTCTAATTGCACTAAATCCTTGTTAAAACCACCATTTTATTTGAGATCTTGTTTCAATATTTTCAGAGGCATTCTAAGCATTTCAGCTCAGAGGTGTTATATTTGGCACTCAATTTTTATTTTTGGGGTTTATTACTTATACAAAGTATTTCGTAACAAACGGTCGAGATTATTTCATAAATTGGTTTGGGAAAGTAGTGTGACATTTTTGACTTTCTGATTTGATTTTTTGACATTTTGCTAAAGGTTCTCAAATATGTTAACTCTTTTCTCAATAATTTGTCTTCACTATATGCGAGTTGTAAACATCACTGTTATCAATAGAATGAGTTGACAATAACCAACTCATAATAAAAACTTAAAACTGAGCTCGATAAATTGCCAAAATGAGTAAAAACTCAAAATGCCCTTGTTACTGAGACTCTAAGTATTACAAAACTCAGAAAAGTAGGTAGTTCATATAAATCTTAGAGAGAAAAAAAGCATTAAATAGGTTTAACAATCGTGAAATTTTAAGGAAAGGTTCGCTGAATACTCACCTGTGAATTCTATTGTTATTCATTCTTTGAAACTTAAGACATTTTTGTCTGAAGTCATTCGTGACATTATAACATAGTCGGCAGAAAATATTTACACAAAATATCATAATAATCATTTTAATATTTGAAATAAGAAAACATATCAGTAACACCTGACCTATGGAAATATATTACGTATGAGATATTTTCGCACATAGACCTTGAGTTTATACCGTTGGCACGATGACAATACTTAAAGCTTCGTTAAAATATGATGTCATGAGCAAATAGGTTCGTTTAATGCTTTGGATATTATCGTCAAAACTAAAATGAAGTTAAGATTTACCGAATCAAGTAAGGAATCAGTATTTGAAATATTTCAAGAAGTTGATGAATTCAATAAAGGTGAGAGAAAATTGTTTTTTGTAATTAGAAACTAATTACTTATTGTTTGCAGTTGGCTAGTTTCAGTAAACAGACGGAAATTGAGAAGAAACCTTTCATAAAGTAAGATCTATTCAGCTTAAATTAGCGTTTTATCGTTCCGAAAAATGTTATCACTTTTGAAAAATAAAAATGTCATGAACATCTATTGATTTTCGTACCATTTATAAATAGAGGAATAAATTTTTGGCAAGATCGTAAGTTCATTTTGATGATGTAATAAACAGGGTGGTTGCATAAAGATCACCTGTGGGGCAATATCTCTCACTGATGCGATCCAATCAGAATACTCCTGCAAAAATCATCCGTCTGCTTATGCAAAATCATCCTAATCTCTCTAAAATTTGAATGAACTGTCTAATTTTATGTGATTTTTGAATAATTTAGAGCATCACCTTCATATCTATTTAATCAATTTCTTGCAAATTCCTCAATACTTCTGATAATTTCTAAGATAAAAACATCACCACCATGAGATTATATTTCTGAGTGCACAGAATTCTTCAGATAGAAGTGCCAAATTTATCGTCTGAAATGTGCTTATTACTTCACAAATACTGTACAAGTTTCTGGATGAAGGCAAAATTGATCAAAAACATGTTGATAAGTACAATATTTCATCTTAAAAGCACAAAACTAATTCTCACTGACAAGGATTATGGAATACCTGATATTGCTATCATAAGGGCTATCTTGACTTTTGACTGCTGATGAGAGTCGACTGACCTCGTGATTTTTCTTTTTATGTTTAGTTAATGAGTGGACCATCGAGTCTTTAATTAATTCAAAGGTCTTAATGGTCACCTGGAATTCTAAAGTGAATTGCGTCATTGTGAACTCTCTAACTCAAATATAGAGAAACTGATACAATGAAACTGAATGGGAAATTCAAATATATGAACAGCAAAGTGTATATACCGTAATATAGCAACACTCTGTGTAGAACAATTGCAGAGTACATTGTATTTACATAAGTCTGTATACTAAATTATTCCTCAAAGTATGTTGAATAATATTGCATGCGTTCCTAGAATAATAGTGTACATAACGTAACTGAATGGCAGCTGACAAAGCATCTATCGTTGTTGTATTCATCTACATATTTCTCTGTAGCTTAACTTCAAAATAGTCACACACATTTCCAAAATGTCCATATTTGGACATTGATACATTTTCCTTCCTCTCACATGCTCTTTTAGTATTTTAAGATTTAAAACGGAAGATACAAAAAGTAATTTCTGATAAGATCAACTCAAGTAACATGTTAACTTGAGTATGAGACCAAATGGTTCCTATATTTGAAGGCCATTGATTGTCTTGTTTTAAAATCAAAATTACAGTAGAAAAGAGTGAAATCAGCAAGGAATAAAGTAATCAGGCATGTAGCAAACACTCTAAATTGTATAGAAATGCAGAAAAATTGGGCAGTTCATTCAAATTTTAGAGAGAAATAGAGTGAAATAAGCAAGGTCAAGTTATAATTTATTTGAGATCCTGGATAACGACTACAAACAATCAATAACAATCATAACAAGGTTGATAAAATATTCATCACAGAAAATTACCAGAAACTTGACACCAATCGCGTAACAATTAATTGTAAAACAAATATGGAAAATAAACGGTCAATTCTCTGCATACAAGTGTGAAAGCTGGGTAGCTTCCGGGGTGTTTGAAAATCTACAAGTTGCTTTATGTAATCGCGTGATTGTAAATGTTTAAACAGCAATGTTACACGTATCACATTCTGTAGACTTAAAGAGAATATGGACGATGTTGGCTCATATTGTAAGTTTGTGTACAGAGCATACAATTAACTCTCAATTAGTATTGGAGTGCCATGTTCAGCGTTCCTAGACAAACCAAGTTTGTTTTCTTTGGTACTTCTTACATTTTGTATAATAATGAGGCTTTTTCATGGTCTTGCATCAAATCTCTACTTACATACATGTTCACATATAGTTTTGTGAACAGTATGAGAAAAAAAGGGCAATATAGCGCTTGAATCAAGAGAAGCTACTTCCATGATCTGCGTACTAGACTTTCATTGCATGAAAAATGCCCTGGGTGTTTAAATGGGCCTTCAATGACTTTTGGTTTGAGAAAATTAGCCCTTTGAGAGAAATAAGCCATTTTTGCAAAAATAGGCTCAAATGTGCAAAAAAACGCCTAAATGTTTTGATATATGGATTTTCAAAATGGGTACAGTCTCCTCTCCCTTGTCACTATGACTGCAGATATGTCCGTGAATAATTGTAAAATTACATATACATGTAATAGAGGTTCGAATCTAACTCACGTGAACTATCATGAGAGCCATGAGGGCTATTACTATTAAAATATTCACAAGTTTCATTTTCACATTCACTTTAAATCATCTGCTCCATATAGCTCATAATGTTCACTCTGTCAAGGAGTTAATGATATGATTTAGGATTTAATGATGAATAACTAAGAGGAGTAGTGCAACATTAAACTACAGACATTCCCCAGGGTAAAAAATTATATTGAAGTTTTCAAGATGAAGAAAATAGTTTTACCCTATACCCATCTAAGTGAATGAAATTGTACTTTTTAAACCTCAAAAAGTTCACGCACCCCCTCCCTCCCTCATTGTGGGTAAAATCAATGAATGATCAATGCAAACTATATGTATGACATCATCTACAAATATGTTGAATGGCCCATGTTATCGAGACCTTACTTTGAAACTTACAAAGAACTCAATGATTATAAGACAAGGGTTTTCAATCGATGTTGTGTAGTACTCTCTTATCTCTAGATAAGTTAAATGGGAAAACAATTTGGAAGGTCCACTACATGAAAAACCACTCAAGTATAAGTCCTGATTGCATTGGAGAAAATACCACATCCTTTTTATTATTTTGCAAACCAGATAACCTTCAGTAGATAAGCTAAAAGTTAAAATGTCATCTCTAAAATATCAGAGTGCCGCCCGAGGCATTTTAACCTTACTTTTATAAAGACAAACAAAAATATCTGCACGCAATCTTAACACTAATATCTTGTATATGAAGCATCTAACATCTAATTTAACACAAAATTAATTAAACACTGCCAAAATTAAAATGCCATAGGCCTCGTACCTAGCCTTTATATCAAGCTGTATACACATACCCTTTAGCAATTTCACTTTTCGTTTAATGACCAGTTATTAACTATACCAATATCAGCATGAGATAAAATAGATGTGCATTCGTCAAAAAGGAACCAAACAAGGTAGACTGCTGATATTGAGTCGAAAAATATTTTTTCAAGATTTGATTTTGTCAGACATAAAAGAGTTTGAATTTCAATGTTGACGGGAAATCTTTCATAAATACATTTGGAAATGACACATGCGGTAAATCAAAAGTGTTAATTGAAAAAAAATATTGGTGGTTCATTTTAGTGACCTCATCCATGTATAAGTTGACAAATTATTTATTAATGATAAATTGAATGTGATTAATTGTAATCAAATGTTTGTTATTACTATTTCAGTTGTACGTGACCACATTATGACTCTTGATTGTGGATCGACTACCAAACACCTGTGACCTGAAACTAACCAATCAACATGTGTAGAACTAGCCAATCAACAATTTTGATAAATTAACAAACGTGTAGATATAATCGGAATCACGCTATAGATCAAAGGCCTACGACTGATCAACCTGTTTGATGCCAAAGAAAAAAGGTGACAGTCCATCAATCAGAAAATTAAAAACTGTCCCGTCAAAAAGTAGGAAATAAAATACATGGACACCTGTGTGCGTTGGATGGAATATTATTACACAGAGAATAATGATTTAATATCGTAAATCAAATTATGCAGTGTACATATTTCACATAAGGTGCAAGTACTGAAATATTGCCAAAATGTTATCGAAGATGTTTTATATCGGGGTTCTTACCCCAGCATGCATCACTGTCGCCTTTTTCGTGGCTTTTCTCATCTGCTGGTTTAAATGTGGACTACGTGAAAAATTCCTCCGAAAACGATATCCAGAACATTTTAACAAAAATGAACCGAACGTGCAATTTACAGACTTAACCTACCGAAATAGGAATTGTGGATTCACAGAAAGGGATGTTCCGGAAAGTGACGGAGGACGTCAATTAAGCACCCCATCATCAACACATAGTTATGAGACAATGGCAGACTCCCATTCAGCAGCAGAGAGTGATCATAGTTCTATTAGTAACTCTTCAACTCAGAGAATGCTTGGAGTTGGAAGCAAAGAAGACCAAAGAAGGTCACAGCCTCATTTTGAACCTAAGCAGACGGCTTTACCTACCTTTGGTGAAAGCCCCATCTATGGGGTACAGCGACAAGGCTGGAATTATCCCACCCAGCACCAAGACTATATCACCCAAAAACATACTCAACAAACAATAAACAAACAAAATGACAAATGCAGATATACAAATAAACAATCATCAAATAATGCAGAAGCACCATTTTCTACTGACAGTAAAAACATTACCCAGGAATGGATTAAAAATTACAGATGCAGTTCGCTAGAAGATCATTATAAACACTGTGTTATTGGAATACATAATAATAGCGACATTAAAACCTCAAATTATGTCCCAGGAAATTATGTTTCCTCGTCTTACCCAGAAGCCCCAAAAGACATCACTAGAGGGCAGCAGTATTTACAAAGCCAAATAAGAGACTTCAAAGGGTACCATCCCCCTCCCCCAGATGTTACCTATAATCATCCCCCAGCACGCCCTGGGACATACATCCCCCGTAGTCTGTCTGACACATATGGGATGTTTGTCACTCCCCAGAACTACCCCCAAGTGCATAGTGGACCCAATTATTACCAAGGCATAGACACTGATTCAGAATATAACAGAGACTACATGTATCAACCCCCTAGCCAAAATGAACATAGGGTTGCTATACAAATGGTGTCATAGAATTTGAAATAATTTTGTGATTAGAAGTTATGAAGATCAGTCCCCAAAAATATGCATCTAAATGTTATCTTCATGATGAAAGTTTCAGTTTTAATGGAAATCAAGTATTATTTCAAAATTTATGTGTTGTTATAATTTTGAAATTTTCAGTTTTTAATGCCTGAGAAAACAGAAAATCAAATATTATTTTGTCAATGTAGGTTTCAGTTGTCACACATTGAGATACCCTTTTCAAAAATAAAAGAGTGATTGAATTCATTTTACTCTTTAGATTTCTGATAATCCTTTAACTCTGAGCTTATCAGATGCTTAATCATTAAATGATGGTTCTTGAAAAGTTAACACATTATTGCAGCCCTACAATGTTCTGATTGGTTGAGCAACTTAGTTAGAGGATGGCGACTTGGCACTGAGCCCAGGGTAGCAATACTGTGGAATACTAAGCCATATACTCCCATCCCGACATAGCCGTGCCCCCTTTGTCTTATCCTTCCAAATGGCTGATAAGAGGGGCTCTGGCATACCAGAATGATATGCTCCTACATGCTCAGATACTAGCATGTTATTGGTTTGAAATGCCATTCATTGATTGTAATGTCACACCAGTACTAATTAACACCAAATAAATATTTACACAATCATTTTGTATCTTTCTCTCTCCCATTTGGGGAATCAATAGTCTGAATAGAGACCTGTGTTACTGCATTGTTAAATCAAAGGTGACTTTGACTACGCACATTATGCATAATAAATCATGATTTGTAAAAATGCATGACTTTTTTACTACATGTGTGACTTACTTCTGTCTAAATGTATGACTACATGTATTCAAAACACTAGATCAACTGCCTTATATGACTGTTCTGTGAAAATGCTTGACTGTTTGATAATTATTTCAAAATTAGAAACTGGAAAGATACATGACTGTTATAGCAATATGCTTGACTATTCTGTTAAGACACAGGACTATTCTGTTAAAGAGACACTATATTTCTGTCAAAATGGATGACTGTTATGGAAAAACTGGTCTGTCAAAATGTGCTACGTTCATGGCAACTTAACCTACAATTCTGTGGGAGTACTTTCTACTGTTCTGTCAAAATATGTACGGAAAGTATTACTTTATTTATAACTGTACATGTATATAAAATATTATATGATGTAATGTAACTCTGGACTAAAAGTTTTTGTGATATCTGAGCACTAAACATTGTAAAGTATCTTATCAGACATGTATGTACACGAGGGGAAAGAGTACCCGTGTATATACAACCTACCGCCGAGCAAGACACGCACATACCGCCGAGCAAATGTTTGATAATGTCATCTCGTAGGAAAATGGACAATAAAGGTAATATAATGTCACTAACAATTCCCTTGGATGGTTAGAGTTGTTACTAAGATGTTCTAGCAGGCGCAATTGGCCTAGAATTATAGTTGAAATATATTTTTATGTCCAAATTAAGAGATAAGGTAAACGTATAATGGTTTTCGATTTGTTTTTCTCATTCATACTCGCTTTAATTGATAATGAGCCATACATAAGACATACTTGGGTCGGTAAATGGATGTGCATATGCATAATATATTAAGTGTCAAAATATTAGGTCAAAATAGCACTTTTGAACAGCAAAATCTTCACTTAAACTTTGTCCTAAAAGATCCGAGGTTATCGGACATCGGACCCGATGTGATCGACGAGTAATATTATAAAGATCCGAAAATATCTTGAGTAAAGGATCTCAGAATCCGAACATTACTTGAGTAAAATCTGTTGAGATCCGATTATATCGTCGAGTTTATGACGTGCTGATGAAAAAATAATAAACATACAATCTGCATCATTCATGTGAATCATTTTGTTGTGAACAATAAATGAAACTGAAAAAAATATGGCTATCACCAGTTACCACTGCACATCGAAACATTGTATTTCAGGTCCTCGGTACAAATGCTTCCACTGTAGTTATAAATCACACGAGATGGATGACTTTGTGGTCCACTTCAGTCAGCACCATCCATTACTGATTATTAAAGTTAATGTGCCTGAGTTAAATGGCAAAAAATGGATTTACAATGTTTTTGACTATGGTATTGTATTATCAAAGAAAGATCACGGTAATTTTCGTTTCGAGGATATGAAGCTTGTGAAGCTTGGGATTCTTCAAGTTGTGTTCTTTGAGTAGAATGGCGCTTGTAATGCAGAATTAAATGTTTTTGGGTTGCACTCTTACCATAGACACATAGGAAATAATGGTGATTCAAGTGTAAGCATGAATTCAATGTTTTAAAGAACTTTGCCAGAAACAGACGTTGACGTATAGTGCTGCGGGAATTATATCATATTATATTATATCCCGGTGCCAGGAGTATATGATAAATAAAAAGGAATATTTGTGATATCGTCATGATATTATATGCTCATTCGAAAGCTTACTCACGGTATAGTCGGAATAGCTCGGTGGTAGCTTCGGGTCCTATATAATCGTACTCGTGACATAATCGGGTCTTTCATTTTCAACTTTCACCGGTGATTTCAATGATATGCAACGTATGGCAGTGAAATAAATATGATACATTTACACCTATTGTATCTTTGAATCGAATGAAGTAAAGACAGCCATGGTTGTTACTTATTCAAGATGTAAATCATCATTCAAATATTTAAAAGTTGAATTTAGCGATTGGATAGTAAACATTGCGCTAAGTACTCATTATTTTGCAAACATGAGTGCCTGGAACAATAACTTTATCAGTTACACACAATTCTGTGTTTTATCTGTTTCTCATATTGAGAAATTCAAGATATAAACAAAAGTTTATAACTCACCCCCTACATTTTCAGACATCTTCGGGTCTTTGCTCGGCGGTAGGTTGTATATACACGGGTACTCTTTCCCCTCGTGTATGTATTTGCCAGCAAAAAGTATCTGGTCAAACTTAAAGTGTTATTAATCAAATAACTAAGCTCACGTGGAAAACTCTTTCAGACTCGTGTACAAGACTTTTAATTTGAAATGCTACTACCGAAGCTTACAAATGGTTCAGTCACACATACATCAATACGACTCAAATAAATTCTTTCATATAATGGTATGACGGATTGTAAAATCAAGCAAAATAAATCTTTTCTATAAGAAACACGAAAAGTTGATTTGTTATGACTTTCTAGCTTTATCAATGTCATTATTATAACCCCTGGGTTTTCTCCAGGACATGCCTCAAGTTGATTGCGGCACAGTTTCGATGTAAGCGTCCAATCATATGCAAGGAGAAATGACCCTTGGGATGAGGGATTTCTAAGGATAAAGGCCAAAAATATCACGATTCCAGGGTGTCAATTTTTGGATGCGTTCTATAATTCAAGAAATTTAATCATCTGGAAAGTGATCAATCAATAGCCTAAGTAATCAATCAACATAAAACATTTGCCCCTTCGTAACCAATCAACTAGAAATATTCTAAGAGTTGTCCAGTCTTTGGTATATTTTTCTCAACCTCATTTATAATCTTATGACATCCTGAGGAAACAGAATCTACTCTATGAATGGATCTTCTCCTTTTTTGAAAAGCTAATAGATACAACATAAGTAAAGCAATATATCACCCTTTGAATTTCGAGATCTTTAATGCAAGCAGGGTCTTTAAGCCTACTCTAATACATGGAAAAATTGTTATTTGGCAAAACCCTAAATTAAAAAGAATATGTCCAAAATCAAACACTCACTCTTCTTCTCTTCTTGATGCCTTAAACCTTCAAAATAAAAATCATTTAAAAAGTTACAAGGCATATAATTTTCTTTTCTGTAGAGATATATCATTTATTTAAATCCCAAAGCATCTTTGTTCACTCGGCTCCCATCGCAGTGAAGCTGGAGAGTGTGAAGATGCTTTTAAAGATGAATTGCCTGATACAAGTATGAGATGTAAAGCATGGGACACTTTCACCATTTCTGATTATGAGCCATGTAAGAAGAGGTCTTTGCTCTTTTGACATCACACAAATTCATTAACATGCAACCCCAATAGGCACATGACCTCATGAATACTAATGCAAATTTACATTTGCTCCAGTGAAAATGTGACTTCTGGAAGACAAATCACATGCATTTACTGATGCAAAACATGAACAATTAGAATCAAAATGACAACTTATAATCGTAATAGCTCAATTAAGGTTTTCACTTTTAAGAATAGCTAACGAAAGTTAATCTTTATAAATTGCTTTCCAATGGTGTAAATTTCTCTGGAATCCTATCAACTTTAATCTGGGACAAACAATTTGTTAAAGCAATAAATTCCATTTGAAAAACTGAGAACTTAAATCAACGAGACAACATCATGCTTTGTTCTAAATGCTAAAAACTAATCTCACTTATAATTGTCTCCCTAAATACTTGTACTTTATATTGATAAATATGACTTAAATAAATATGACAGTATGAAAATGTCAGCTACACCAACTGCATATAGTAAATATTCACAAGGTTCCTATAAAAAAGAGCAAAACACATTTCTTCTGAGGTGTTAACTCGACCGAAAGCAGACATACATCATTTACATATAAGGGGTTGCATCAAAAATATAGAAAGTTCCTCTACTAGACTGGACCAATTTTAGTGTCTCATACATTTTAATTATAAGATTTGAGAAAAAAGGTAATATTTATGCATGGCAGCCCATGCATGAGTTTTGCCATGTATATTCCACTCCTAGTCTAAAAATTTGTAGCCTCAAAATTTGTAGTTCCAGATTCCTTTGCTTCATTATTTGAAATATATGACATTCAAGCCCATTCATATTTTTCCTCATAGATTTTTTCCCTTTGTTCTGTAAACAGAATGTGTATCAGTACATTTTGGTTACAGGTTATCGAAATAGCCAGTCAACGTGGGGGTATTTTTATTAGAACTTGAATTATAAAGATGTACCGCTGCAAAATGCAGAGATCAGACATTCCAGATAAGACATATTTCTTCAAAATTGTTTTATAACAAGCAAGTAAGTTCCAGGGAAAACATAAATTGGTTTTATTTTAAATGTGGTTTTCTGAAAAAATGTGAAATTCATTGAAAATACTTCATTCACATCAAATTATGGCAACAAGGTCTAAAATATTTTTCAAGGTAATTATTTGGAAAGAATAATGAGTGGTTGATCAATTAAATACCAATCTAAAATCATTTTTATAAAGTCAATCGTTGGCTTTAATGTTAAAAGCCTTACATTGCCGATTGACATTATATATGCAACAATGCAATACATCATCAATTTTTTTTTTAAAAAGGAAGCTTAGACAAAACAAAACATCAAACAAACATCCAACAATTTCACCCATATGTTTCCTAAAAACTTGTCCCAGGGTAATCATAACTCGAAAGAGATCATCAGAACACCGATTCAGAATCTGTATCGATTGCTTAGATAAATGTTAGTGGATTCACATATCAGCAAATTAGTTTTAATGGCTACAATCGAATATGTTTTCGACAATAGAAGTAAGACTTAAAAAAACAACGTGGAGGAAACCAAAAACTTGTCAAACACAGTAGTTGTATATAAATTGAAAAATATCAGTTTTAACCAATATTTTGTTTGACATGTTTTCAATAGCTATTTTAGTCTCATAATTCAGAGTTTATTGAATAACATGCCACATCAATAAATGTCACACAAAAATGTGATCTCTGACATTCTATTAGACATCATTGTGTAGTTATGGTATTTCATGTGGTAAAAATGGCTGAATATTTGTCATATGAGAAATTTGAACTCTGAAATGAGTATGATAAAAGTACGGTAAAACTTGTTTATGTGAATATAACTAAGATTGGTCAAAAGTGTTCAGATTAGCAGGTGTTTACATTTCAAGATTTTTTAACATGAGAGTCAATGGGGGATAGTAAAATTAGGACTGAGAGAAAGTGGGTGTTTGATAAGAGAGGTGGAGAATACCCAGGTTTAATGTACACAATATATTGTAAAACCAATGTTTTTTCATCAAATATTTTCAGAAAACGTGTTGATAACTTTGCCGTCTCACATTTCTATAGCCAAACTTTACTCTATCTGTTAATCTTAAAAGTATAGTAATTGCCAAGATTATTCATATTTAATACCACAGATCTGTCTATTTACAGATACACATTACAGCCATCACTTGGATCAAAAATAGGTAACTGAAGAATTAGAGGTTCATTGTAAAAACTTGTTAAAGCACACCTTGTGTGAAACTATATGTTTGTAGTTTATTCTTTCTGAAATAGCTCGGATCTAGCGAGAAAATTTTGAAGTTTGGTTGTATTTGGAGTGTATTTGCACCAATCTGTGCATACCATGCGTACTGGGCGCTACAGCTATGTCTTAATTAAAGGAAATTTTCCAATGAGAACTGGGGTGTGCTGCAGAAAGAAACTTTCCTACCTGTAGGTATGTTCTTGACAGCCTCTTCAAACACCATACAACACCTTTGCTCCATCTTTCTACTGATAGCTGAAATAAAAACAAATGACTTGAAAACAGAAAGAGCCATAACATGACAAAATGTCACCACCAGGTTGCCATTAAAAAATGACATAACTGTTACAGAACTGAAATGAACACCAACTGCTGGCACCAAAAATTGTGACTATAACAATGTTATATGTTAACATTTCTGATTTCTCATCCTCCTAAGCAGGTATCCAGAATCCATACCTATAACCAATTTGAAAGTGCCCGATTAAACTGAATCACGTATCTAATTATGCGCAATGACTTATACATGATTTCTGTCGCAGTGTCGACAGCCAATCAGATTGCGAGTTCTTAATCGGGGAAATGCTAACTGCTTATCGCAGGGGGTAAAATGAAAGAATATATTCTGGATTTTGAAGCCCTGTGATCGGAGGATGACATTTCTTGGTGGTGACATAAAATGAGAGCCATATATTTTTGGCAGTACTAGTACATAGTAAAGTGTTGTTAGTCTCAAAATTTTGAAGTCTTACAATATATTCGTCAACACATTTAGACAAATAAAACCTGTTCAGTTGAACACCTCTGTAATCGGAAGACCTCCATAAGTGGAACAGTTTTTGAGGTCCACTAAAAAAGTCCTTGTATGTGGAATATTTATTTTCTTAAATTATGGGGGAATATATTAAACAAATGAAAACTGTTCAGTTGAACACCTCTGTAAATGGAAGACCTCCATAAGTGGAACAGTATTTGAAGTCCACTAAAATAGTCCTTGTATGTGGTATATGTCTATTTTTAAATTATGCAGGAATATATTAACAAATGAAACCTGTTCAGTTGAACACCTCTGTATCACCTCGATATTATGAAAATGATTCGATACAAATTATTCGATACGCATATTCATGTAAATGTCTGTGTATACATAGAGGAGTGGGGGTTCGAGTCCCCCGCTAAAAAATCTTTCAAAGTTACCCTTCTGAGCATAGAAAGTGGTGTTGTTATTGAATGTTGGGCTTTTAAAAGACCTCAACACCTCAGATTTACCTTTTGGGTTGTGTTTATTGCGATGATCTCCATATTACGAATATCAGCAAATTTAAGTGAATTAAATCTTGCCGAGGTTTCGCTAGTCATTAAATATTCGAGCGTCATGTTTGATTGTCGTTTGCTAAATATATCGCAAATTGGAAAGATACTATAACATATTAAAATAAAGATATGTCTATGGCCCTATCGCATTTATTACGTATTAAGATAATTAATGGTATAACATTTGGTGTGGAAATGCACATAGAGCATCTAAAATCACAAATTTTCGCAAAATTATTGAATATCTGTTTATTGCTCAAAAGTTCACATTCAGATTGAATCATGAATCATTGAATCGGAGGTGATTCCTAGCGATTATATCGGTGCATCGACCAATCGTGCGATCCCTAGTTCATACATAAATCTATGACTTAAGATTAGGGATGATTCAGAATATTCAAACACTGTCCATTGGGGATAATAAGGTTAAAGAGAGATCAAATAGAACAAAAAATCCGAATAATCATCAATATACGTTCTTCCACATAACTGATGTCATATTTGAACAGGTCTAAAACAGGTCTATCTTAAGCCTCAGTCGCATTTGCTCTAAGACGGCCATACAGTGGCCATAGCTTCGCAAAATCCAAAAAATCTACATCATACTACTTATCCCTCTATTTTATGCTGCATATTTCTCTTGATTTTGGGATGCTACAGCCACTGTACAGCTATCATGAATCAACTGTGACTGAGAGGCATAACTCAGTTTTTTTAACATTCAATGCAAGTGAAAGAGTTTTTAAAAATTTAGACATCTTCAGAGTTAAAAATATTTTACCTCCTTGTGCAGCCAAATGTTGCTTAGCAACAGCTTCCCATGTGACCTCTTTGTCACCATGTCGCTCTCTGGCAAAGTTTAAAATCTCAGTCTGATGTGGTTGGGTGAAATCGAACAATCTGGCAATTGGCAAAAATGAGAGCCACATTTCTATATCTTCATCAAATTCCTCGACAGCTTTGCGGAAGACAATAAGAGCCACCATTCCTTTAAGAACTGCGTCACTTGGACCCTCTTCATTCATCGCACCAAGAATCTCGCTTCGTTTTCGTAACTAAAACCGAAAGACAATGTATTTTCATCATAATGTCAGTTTAGAACCACTTGTAACAAAATATTGGAAATTGAAAATTGTTTTTCTCTTAATATGGCAGACAACTCATATCACTTTTGTTCTCAAATGCAGCAGGATTTTATATCAAAACTTGTTTTGACCTGACATCTATAGTTGAGTCATTATACTATTTCCTAATAAACTGATGAATAGTAAAACAGAACCTCTAAATGAACACTGTTTCAGTAAATTGAGCTAGATATGAAACATTTCTTGAAATCTTAAATTGTGGCTAGCTTTGATATCAAGGCAATCAATATTTGGTAAGTATACTTTTTTCTAATTTTTCTCTTATATTTATAAAAATTGTGGCGCTTACATATTCATTCCACCAGGCAACAAGAGAAAATCAGATTGTGTTAACTAAATTATACATGTTAAATGGAACCAAATCCATGCAAATGTCTCAAATAATTTTGCTCATTGTTTTGCTGTGGAGATTTTATTGAAATTAAAGAAATACTTTACCTTGTCTGCATATAGGAGCTCCATTCTGTAGGACTATAACATAGAAAGATAAATATATTTATCCTGAATAATACAACTTGGTCGAGAGAAGCAATGCTCATATTTTCATTCTGGCCATGCCTTCGACCATGCAATTTATATGATAATTCTGATAATGGACTTTCTAGTATTAACGGTTTTGAGTACTGTCAAGAGATGGCAAAAAATTCAGTGGGTCAGATGTAGACATTAGCATTAAAAGTTACATTAAAGATATATCCAATAATACACTTTTAATCTTAATTTAAAACCACAATTCCATTCTGATACTCATCAAATATCAACAGATGGGAGGGGGACAACATTTTAAGTGTGATTGTTATCAAGTATTGGCCCTTTAATGTTGACACATTACAAATGTTACATAATAGTGTATTGTCACTTTGTTAGTGTCTCAAGTGGTATCAACTCATTTAGTTTTATGACCCAATTTAGGGTAAGATAAGGATGGCCATCAAGATGTTCATAGTCTCTAAAATGATCTCATTGGTCAATTGATCTCTATAATTGATCTGATTGGCCCTCAGCATTTTCAAAAAACTGTACGGGCCTTGATCGAAGGTAGGCACCAACTGTCTCATGGCATACTAGTGTGAAGCCATTCTGATACTCATAGCATCTTTCTGTTTCACTTGAAACAGGACTGAGAAGATTTGTGATGTCATGGTTTATCATGATGGTGTGAAGCTAATAGGAGGCCATGATTTCTCATGATGCCACAATTCAGTAATTTACTTATGTGCAAATGTTTCTTGCTATGCCAGAAGATTGAAAAGGTATGTCTATATTGAACAAATACCTCTCGCCATAACTCCTTTGATTTTGGGTTAAACCGTAGCCCCCTCTGGAGGAAGTTTCTAGCATTGTCTGTCGATAAGGCATCTTCCATTTCCCATTTTGCCGCTAGGATCCACAATTCTGAAAAAAAATTGTTGCTTATATTCAAATGAATCAATCACCCCCCTCAACTGGCTCACACTCCAAAAACTGAAACTACTATATAGAGTTATATATTATTCATTTCTTTAAGGCTTTATAAACTAGACAACTGCAACGCCAAAGCGTAGCAAATCCCATCGAACAGCCATGGCTGGCATATTTACAAACAAAGTATATAGCAAAAATGGCAGCCATTTTTCAAAATGGCCACCTTCTACCAAAAGTGTCATTAGACAGTGTGCCATGCTTATGATATAGTGATATATGATATAGTGGCCTTAGAAGAAGGTAAAACTATTATACCTGGTTTTCTTGTGTGTATCTGCAGCATTTGGTTATAGATTCTGCTGACACTTGCCTTCTCTCCTCTCTGTTTGCTGAACTGTATGTGAGATAACCACAGTTTAACATCATCTTGGAATCTCGATAAAGCAAGCTGAAAATGTCAACAAAAATTAACGAGACAGTAAAATATAAACATCAAAAAAAGCAGGTATTAAATATGAAGTTACTTTTCAAGAAATTTCAATGAGCTGTTTTCTGGACCTACAATGACATAATCTATCAACAAGACACACAGTGATAAATATCGCACTTTGAAGAGCAAACTGGCCACCATGCAATTTACCCAGCATAGCCAAAACCTAATCAGACCTTGGCACTAGTCTGCTCTTCCATCTGTAAACATTTCAAGTTGACAAGGTTAGCCGTTTTCCTGCAATTTTGATGACAAGAATTTATTTGTAGTCTTGAACTTTGGGAAAATTTAGATAACATTGTTTGTGACCTAATTTGATGACCTTCGACCTTGAAAATTTCACTTTTTCAGACCTCAGTAGGTCTTTTGTAATTAGCTGACCTAAATTTAAATCCAAAATATCAATTTAGAAAATCAAATTTTTGACCTTTTCAAGGCCACTGAAGGCCAACGAAAGGTCAAATCTGAAATATAAGGTCAGATTTGAACTTCTGAGAACTTGTAGATGTTTTTAAAAAAAAAATTTGGTCAATTTGGAGCAAGTTGAAAAATTCAAAATGGCCGCCAAATTGAAAAATTCAAAATGGCCACCATGTAATTCAGCCAGCATACCCAAAACCTAATCAGATCTTGGCAATAGTCTGTTCTTGCATCTGTAAAAATTTCAAGTTGAACGGATAAGTGGTTTTCCTGGAATTTTGATGACAAGATTTGTTGAAAAATTCAAAATGGCCACCACGTAGTTTACCCAGGATGCCCTTAACCTAATCAGATCTTGGCACTAGTCTTCTATTGCATGTGTAAAAATTTCAAGTTGAACAGGTTAGCGGTTTTCTTGGAATTTTGATGACAAGAATTGATTTGTAGTCTCAAACTTTGAGAAACTTGGATAACATCATTTGTGACCTAGTTTAATGACCTTGACTTTCGACCTTTAAAATTTCACTTTATCAGACCTCAGTAGGTGTTCTGTAATTAAGCTGACCTAAATTTAAATCCAAAATATCAATTTAGAAAATCAACTTTTTTTACCTTTTCAAGGTCACTGAAGGTGAATGAAAGGTCAAATCTGAAATCTAAGGTCAGATTTGAACTTCTGAGAACTTGTAGATGTTTTTAAAAAAAAAATTTGGTCAATTTGGAGCAAGTTGAAAAATTCAAAATGGCCGCCAAATTAAACAAGACACACAGTGATAAATATCGCACTTTGAAGAGCAAACTGGCCACCATGCAATTTACCCAGCATGGCCAAAACCTAATCAGACCTTGGCACTAGTCTGCTCTTGCATCTGTAAACATTTCAAGTTGACAAGGTTAGCGGTTTTCCTGCAATTTTGATGACAAGAATTTATTTGTAGTCTGGAACTTTGGGAAAATTTAGATAACATCGTTTGTGACCTAATTTGATGACCTTCGACCTTGAAAATGTAACTTTTTCAGACCTCAGTAGGTGTTTTGTAATTAAGCTGACCTAAATTAAAATCCAAAATATCAATTTAGAAAATCAACTTTTTTGACCTTTTCAAGGTCACTGAAGGTGAATGAAAGGTCAAATCTGAAATCTAAGGTCAGATTTGAACTTCTGAGAACTTGTAGATGTTTTTAAAAAAAAATTTGGTCAATTTGGAGCAAGTTGAAAAATTCAAAATGGCCGCCAAATTGAAAAATTCAAAATGGCCACCATGTAATTCAGCCAGCATACCCAAAACCTAATCAGATCTTGGCAATAGTCTGCTCTTGCATCTGTAAAAATTTCAAGTTGAATGGATAAGTGGTTTTCCTGGAATTTTGATGACAAGATTTGTTGAAAAATTCAAAATGGCCACCACGTAGTTTACCCAGCATGCCCTAAACCTAATCAGATCTTGGCACTTGTCTGCTATTGCATGTGTAAAAATTTCAAGTTGAACAGGTTAGCGGTTTTCTTGGAATTTTGATGACAAGAATTGATTTGTAGTCTCAAACTTTGAGAAACTTGGATAACATCATTTGTGACCTAGTTTAATGACCTTGACCTTTGACCTTGAAAATTTTACTTTTTCAGACCTCAGTAGGTGTTTTGTAATTAAGCTGACCTAAATTTAAATCCAAAATATCAATTTAGAAAATCAACTTTTTTGACCTTTTCAAGGTCACTGAAGGTGAATGAAAGGTCAAATCTGAAATCTAAGGTCAGATTTGAACTTCTGAGAACTTGTAGATGTTTTTAAAAAAAAAATTTGGTCAATTTGGAGCAAGTTGAAAAATTCAAAATGGCCGCCAAATTGAAAAATTCAAAATGGCCACCATGTAATTCAGCCAGCATACCCAAAACCTAATCAGATCTTGGCAATAGTCTGCTCTTGCATCTGTAAAAATTTCAAGTTGAACGGATAAGTGGTTTTCCTGGAATTTTGATGACAAGATTTGTTGAAAAATTCAAAATGGCCGCCACGTAGTTTACCCAGCATGCCCTTAACCTAATCAGATCTTGGTACTAGTCTGCTCTTGCATCTGTAAAAATTTCAAGTTGAACAGGTAAGCAGTTATCCTGGAAATTTGATGACAAGATTTGGTTTATGTACCGCCCGCCCGCCCGCACGCCCGCCCGCCCAACAGCACAAGACGACGGCAATATAGCACTTTTTCAAAGTGCGATAAAAATTCAAAATGGCCACCATGTAATTCAGCCAGCATACCCAAAACCTAATCAGATCTTGGCAATAGTCTGCTCTTGCATCTGTAAAAATTTCAAGTTGAACGGATAAGTGGTTTTCCTGGAATTTTGATGACAAGATTTGTTGAAAAATTCAAAATGGCCGCCACATAGTTTACCCAGCATGCCCTTAACCTAATCAGATCTTGGTACTAGTCTGCTCTTGCATCTGTAAAAATTTCAAGTTGAACAGGTAAGCAGTTATCCTGGAAATTTGATGACAAGATTTAGTTTATGTCCCGCCCGCCCGCCCGCACGCCCGCACGCTTGCACGCCCGCCCAACAGCACAAGACGACAACAATATAGCACTTTTTCAAAGTGCGATAAAAAACTTCAAAAATGGCTGCAAGAAAACAAAATGGCTGCCTGAAAACTTAACATAGAATATATTTAGTTGGGCAAAGTCTCATATATCATATTCACTGTGAACAATTAAAGTCTAGCATACATTTCATAATTCTATTTTATTTCTATCAAGCACAACATATGTTTTATTCGTTAACTATTTTTTCTCTCCTTACCTGGAAAAGCTTATGGATACGCTGTACTATGGCGACATCTATTTCAACACGCTTGAATGTGTATCCAATTTTCTGTCTCCTTTTTCGCACCAAATTGAGCACATTGATTTCATACTGGAATACATGTTATTCAATTAACTGCATCAAAACTTATCTGTACATGCAAAAAATACAAAACTTGTCTAAAGGATCCTTTTTCAAGAAGCGGTTCCGATAAAATAAGAGCCATTGCGATCTGAAAAGGTAGTGTCTTCAAGAAAAATGTATGTGTATATTCAACATTTTTACTGTGAATCGAATTAAGATAGCCACATATTCTTATGAAACATCTGCATACTTAAGTAACAAAAGTATTGTGTAGAAGGTATTTTCATATTTGTTGGGGTACTCAAGGGCTTTTAGGACAGTGAGACTATATTTGTGGGGGACTGGGGGTACTCAAGGGCTTTTAGGACAGTGAGACCATATTTGTGGGGGTACTCAAGGGCTTTTAGGACAGTGAGACCATATTTGTGGGGGTACTCAAGGGCTTTTAGGACAGTGAAACCATATTTGTAGGGGTACTCAAGGGCTTTTAGGACAGTGAGACCATATTTGTGGGGGACTGGGGGTACTCAAGGGCTTTTAGGACAGTGAGACCATATTTGTGGGGGATTGGGGGTACTCAAAGGCTTTTAGGACAGTGAGACCATATTTGTGGGGGTACTCAAGGGCTTTTAGGACAGTGAGACCACATTTGTGATGGGGACTGGGGGTACTCAAGGGCTTTTAGGACAGTGAGTCCATATTTGTGGGGGTACTCAAGGGCTTTTAGGACAGTGAGACCATATTTGTAGGGATACTCAAGGACTTTTAAGACAGTGAGACCGTATTTGTGGGGGACTGGGGGGTACTCAAGGGCTTTTAGGACAGTGAGACCATATTTGTGGGGGATTGGGGGTACTCAAAGACTTTTAGGACAGTGAGAAAATATTTGTGGGGGTACTCAAGGGCTTTTAGGACAGTGAGACCATATTTGTGGGGGACTGGGGGTACTCAAGGGCTTTTAGGACAGTGAGACCATATTTGTGAGGGTACTCAAGAGCTTTTAGGACAGTGAGACCATATTTGTAGGGGTACTCAAGGGCTTTTAGGACAGTGAGACCATATTTGTGGGGGTACTCAAGGGCTTTTAGGACAGTGAGACCATATTTGTGGGGGACTGGGGGTACTCGAGGGCTTTTAGGACAGTGAGACCATATTTGTGGGGGTACTCAAGGGCTTTTAGGACAGTGAGACCATATTTGTGGGGGACTGGGGGTACTCGAGGGCTTTTAGGACAGTGAGACCATATTTGTGGGGGTACTCAAGGGCTTTTAGGACAGTGAGACCATATTTGTGGGGGTACTCAAGGGCTTTTAGGACAGTGAGACCATATTTGTGGGGGACTGGGGGTACTCGAGGGCTTTTAGGACAGTGAGACCATATTTGTGGGGGTACTCAAGGGCTTTTAGGACAGTGAGACCATATGTGTGGGGGTACTCAAGGGCTTTTAGGACGTGGGACCAAACACAATTTGTTTACCTGTATATATTGCAAGAAATCTTCCTTTAGCTTTGATTTTCTTCTCAGTTTGTATTCATATGCTTTTCTTTTCTTTAAGATACTCCTAAAAGCATAAACATGTATATAGGAAATAAAACAGGATATCAAAATGTAGTGAACACTTCAGTGGTCTCCATAAGATTTAATTGATCGGTGCTCCAACCTGTTATTCATTCCAACCAAAATGTTATATCCACCTACTATGCTGTCAAACTTTAAAATTTGCTAATTAAACTTACACTCACAATGTCAACCTAACCAACCCAAAATTGTGTTGAAAAAAGAGACAACTGTTTATAAAAATTTGGATGCAAAAAAGAGATAAGAACAACAGGCTAAATAAATGAAAACAACAGGCAAAATTAATGAAAATCATAAATTTAAGATCAGGGTGCACTTTGTTGAAATGTCATGACCATGTGCTCTTTTCAAATAAAGAACTCATCTACATCTTTCAGTCTTGCACAAAGATGCATTAGTGTACCTAGACTATTAATTGAGGGTTTATAAGTCTTCAGAATGTTTGAATAACTAGAATATTCAGTGCTTTACTTTTCAAAATTGCAAATCGTTTGTTTTGATGTATCACCGTTCAGTTCTTCCTCCAGAAATATTTTGGAATTATCAGGTAAAATGCATATTTGTGTGACATATTCTATCACACACAAAAAAGCTGGAGTGACTTCAATTTCTCCAGCAAATGCGTGACAAATACACTAATTGTGGGACAGTTGGATGGCCTGTGCCTCTAAGGAGCTGTAGCGTAACAAGCCAGATCCTGCACATGAAAGGGAGCACTTAATTTAATGGTTATCAAACCCTGGACGTTCTACTCCATAGATGGTTGCTCTTCTGCTTGAGACGATATGGGGCTAGAAACTATAGAATCTACAGCTTGGCTGCAGTAGCAACCTGCTATCTTGGGTCATTACCCATTAAGGTTCAGCTGGAAAGTAACATTTTGGTAAAAAATTGCTATACCTGCACATGTTATTTTCTGGTACAGAATTAAGTATGAAGTCATGTGTGTATTTCCTTGCTTTTTTCAGGAAAGTATCATTACACTGTTTACTTTTATAATATCTGGAAACAGGTCAATGGTAGCTCCTGTGTTGTCTGGAAATTTTGAAAGAAAATTTGGAAAAATAGAAAGTGTGAAATATCAGAGTTTCCTGGAGTTTCCATTGAACCCCTACCAGATATTCTAAAAGAAGACAATGTAATGATACTTTCCTGAAAAAAAAAGACTCTCCGGGGGTAAGAGATGACGGAAGATGAACATCCATAGTGTTCAACTGTCTTGACAGGCACTAACTAATCCACTGACTAATTTCATTTTGCCTTTTGGTGAATTTGTCGATCTATTTTTTTCCACGAGTGGGCGATAATATAGTAAATGTAACTTTTTCTGACCTGGCCTCTTCTTTTGTGAATAGTTTCACTCTTTCCATCTGCTCCAACTCTGGGAGCATTTCCTCAATTCTCTGTTGAACGAATTCTGCCATTATTTGCGGAGATATATGCAATAATTACCAAGGAATATTTTTAAATTCACGTGTGATTTTCGAGTTTCCTTTTTGAAGAGTACCTTTTAGGGACCTGTCAATCTCTGATTTTCAAATCGCAGGCAAGATGCGTACATTGAATTAGCATGGGTTATTGCTACTGGCCCTTATATTTTTGTTCCTCATATCCCATAAAATGGTCTACAACACCGCGGGATTCCCTCCACCTCTTTCACACCACCACTTAGTGACTACACACAGCCAGCCCCCCCCCCCTTGGGTAGGCCTTACGCACTTCGAGAGCCATGTTAGATTTTGAAACTTATAGCTATTATATCAAAATCCAAATAGCTTTCGCAGGAAGTAAGGTAGGCCCAGAAAAAATTGTGCCCATGAGCCAAAAAGGCCTTAAGAACTATTCCAAAGGATAGTAAGGGAACATGGGGCAAAGCGGCCCAAAAAAATTAATTTTAAGTTGTTCTGTACGGGGTATTTTCGTATCTGTCAATTATCGCGCACTTTGATGTTCCACTTTATTAATGGTTTGTGGTTTACATTTTTCGAGTGTTTTATACTTTCCTAAGACTATCTTCTGTGATTTTTCAATGGTCAAAAATATTGTCGAGAGTGGGGCAAAACGGCCCATGGGTGGGGCAAAACGGCCCACCCTCTGTTACACGGGTTTTGAAACCAAAATTAACCAATTACAAGACTCGTCCACAAACATCTTATCTCAGACGTTCAAACCTTTGACAGATAAAGTATTCTTAACCCCTACCATAATTCTAGTCATTCGATATGTGTCGGAAGGAAATAAGGCACAAGCCAGATGTTAAAATTGTTACATTTGAAAACCAATTGTTCTTGCACAATAAGATTTTTGTATGTTATAACATGTGTGGGCCGTTTTGCCCCAAAGACATGTGAATTTTCAAATAGACGTCATTTTAATTTGCCTAATATTTGAAGCTCGAAATTTTTACAAATAAAGAATAAATGTGCACACTCTATGTAAAATGTTAAATCAAAACGATATTCTATTGTTGCCGGATTTTTTATAGATTCTCGTGAGAGGGGTAATTTCCAAAAAAGAGGGTGAAAAGTAGAATTACCTCTTACGTAAAGCGAGACGCTGCTTGGTTAAAAATGGACGGTCGAGAAGGTGGCAGATATTTCAAAATTCGATTTTGTGACTTTTGAAGAACCATCTTTTTATAGTTCAAAAGATATTTCGATGGGCCACTTTGCCCCAGAGGGCCGTTTTGCCCCATGTTCCCCTAAAGGCTGTGGATCCCACAATGGATCCGCCCCTGTTCCCACAGAGTGGTTGTGTTCACTGAGAAGGGGATCCCAGAAGCAAAACTAACCATTTTATGGACACTTATTGAGAAATATCAAATTTTGGTCCTACTGTCTCAGTTATTCCACACATTAAGCTTAATGGACTGATATCCTCACATATTTTAGAGGAGGGTCTTAAGTTTTTATACCAGGATACCATTATAAAGGTCACTCAATCTTATGATCTTCATGCAGAAGTTACATGGCATCACTGGCAGATATGCTTGATTAAACGATGTGCTCAATACACGCTTCACGGTTCTGCAACACAAATGTGCAACACGAATGTTGAAGTTGTTTGAACTACTCATCCAGCATATCTATGAGTATTTAGTATTTTCAGGGAAAAAATAAAGTTGTTAGAAGTTTTTTGAGTTGATATGTTCATTTGCTGTGCTTTACCCTGCGCGCAAAGTCTAGTTAAACTAAAGACGAAGCTCTCTTTTAAGAAGTGAAGTCAAACGAATGCAAAGGGTAGCTGTGCTCACTCGTGAAGATACCAATTTCTACTCGCGAGTATAAATGTCAAATTATTTCAAAACCATAGTGTTGTCCCTTTATCCAATGGGAAATTATAACATCTTGAATGATCCATGTGCACGTGATAGCAATGGGATGTAATACATGATATTACAAAGCAATATAAACGTTAAGGATTTGATCCCATGTTTTAAAATATAGCCCAACTTTACAAGGATCAGTTAAAACATTAGCGTTAACACAAAAACATGAACGTTGTCTGGTGATACTGGATCCACGGACTTGCCCTTGACAGCCCATGCATGGTTGATCTGAGGAAGATTGATTTCGAACCCGTCCCCGTCAATCGTTGATACCACAATATTGTGATTTAATTGTAACAAAAATATTGGTAATCTATTAAAAATCAGTTTCTGCAAATCTACACTCCCACTCAGTCAGAAAGTACATGTATTCTGGTCATGCATTGTTCAAACCATAGCGGCTCAGTGACTGTACGCACAAAGCACAACCAAACATTAAAACGCAATCGCTCCCTAAACACTAGAATTACCAGGAAATGTTAATTATCATTATCATTGTTTTAGAATATATCACAATGTTATGATTAATTAGTTAAACTTCAGAATCGACGATGAGAATTGGTATCAATTAGTAAATTATCTCAAACAGTTAGCAGTTTGACTCAAATATTTTTGACCTAGATTTCCCGATAATGTAATTCAATGAAGTAAAAAGTTGTCTCGTATTTTAAGCGTTTCCCTATTTAGTAATCTAGAATTCAAAACAGTTTTCAAAAGCTTTGATATATTTCTATCGTTTTATCATGTATTTTACGTGTTATTTAATGTAACTCGATCACATTGTAACAGGAAAACGTTGAGGTATTTTTCGATCTTCGTGAGACCAATATGGCGGCCAATCGAAATATTTGTGTTTGTTGCCCAAATTCAATAATTAATTTCGGCCCGTGATTTAAATATATGGTTTGTGAATTTGATTCTATCTTGTAATATATATGTCTAAATTATTATTTATGAATAAAGATTAATGTCCTTCTGTCAATTATGATGAGATAAACACTTGTGAACGTAGAATTTCGAAGATTTTTAATCAACAAATTACATTCAAACAGTAAAATTCGTATTAAGCAATCAACGCAGTGCATTAACTGTAATTTTGTGATAAAATATAGTATCATAGCTTTCTATATAGTTCAATATATCATACATATATTGGATAGCTAGTATAGAAATTAATATTTGAAATATATCGACAAGCACACTTTGAAAATCACATCAGACATTTTGATTCTCATTCAGTGAAAACCGGAAGTTTGTTCTCTAACGTCCGCGCGATTTGTATAAATCAACAACACATTCGTCAAAGTTCTATACATTCAGTTTTATCTGACTAGAAGACATCGTAGACAATCTACAGCAACCAACAAACTCGTACAATGGCAGACACAGCAGCAAAGAAGGCAGCAAAGCCAAAGAAGCCAGCCAATCATCCCAAATACAGCGAGATGATCCAGCAAGCCATCACTTCACTGAAAGATCGTACAGGATCCAGCCGAGTTGCCATCCTGAAGTACATCCAGGCTAACTTCAAGGACCTTGGTGGCGATGCATCCGTCAACTCTCACTTGAAGATGGCTCTTCGTGCTGGTGTGAAGAATGGTGCTCTCAAGCAAACTAAAGGAACTGGTGCATCTGGCTCCTTCAAAATTGGCAAGGTAGAGAAACCAAAGAAGGTCAAGGTAGTGAAGAAGAAACCAGCTGCCAAGAAACCCAAGGCAAAGAAACCAGTGGCCAAGAAAGAGAAGAAAGTAAAAACCCCCAAGAAGGCAGCAAAGAAACCAAAAACACCCAAGAAGGCTGCCAAGAAACCAGCAGCCAAGAAGGCCGTCAAAAAGACTCCAACCAAGAAAGCTGCCAAGCCAAAGAAGCCAGCTGCAAAGAAAACACCCAAGAAGAAAGCCGCAAAGAAACCAGCCAAGAAATAAATGCTGAAACATTAAACACCAACAACCCAAAGGCCCTTTTCAGGGCCACCCATTACTTACAAAAGAGTACTAGGTTTATGAATTTTCGAAAGGTCGAATGTGTGCTTTAATTTGACACCGAGGGATCTTTCAACATATTAAGTCTTCTAGCATGTTTTAGGGGGTTAGTAAATGACTCTCGAATTATTTGTGAGAAAATAACGAGCGTTTGCACAATTCAAAAAGAAGCAAGAATGTCTGGTTCCTCACCTTTATTACCGATCGAAAATACGGCCAACACCTGGTCAAGAACTACTCTTCTCAACTTCTGAAACGCTCGCACGTTTTCTTTCCTGCTCCGAGATACTGAATTTTGACCAAACTGAGCTTAGATCGATGGCTAGCGAGAGATTTCTCTGTTATGTTGAGAAATAACATATGTAACAAAGAAAGTAATTTAGTCTTGCTTAAAGACCCTGGAGATAAGGGGGACCCCGAGAACGAGACCCTCCCGGGAGACTACCACTTATGATGACAACAATTCGAGAATTGTTTTGGTCTGAACGTGCCGACGACTGTGAACCCCATCCCCCCACCCACCGCTTTCAAATCACCACTAGTACACACAGCATTACCACAAAGTGGTGGGAAAGTAGATAAGGGAGGGGGGTCCCAGAAGCTAGTTCAACAAGTTCCTAGTCTGGGCCTTATCTGTTATCTGACATATCTTGTGGCCCGTCCTTTAACGTCCGTGCCTATTCGGCCCATGATGCAAAACATTTAATGGTGGCCTATGACAACGCAATTCATGCGCGTTTGATACTGATAGTGAAAATTTGCAACAAATGAAAGCATAGCACGGAAGTTAAACTCAATCACGGCAACAAGAACATTCAGATTAATAAATACAAGCCGTGGTATTGGTTTTAACTTGAACTACCCAGATAGGGAAACAGCGAATTATGCAACTCATCCTCCGATCACAGGGCTTCAAAATCCAGAATATGTACATGTTCTTTCTTTTTACCCCCTGGGAAGAATGAGGTACGGATTCTGGATACCTGCTTAGGAGGATGATGCAACTCTTTTTTGGACCACTCTGAATAATAACCTACTGATGATAAGTGAATTTTCAAGGAATTAAAGAGAGAATCAGATATAGCGAACAGGCTAAACAAAAAAATGTTTCAATTTTAGAATATTTTTGGTTCATGTCATTCCTTGTCATGTCTATTTTCTAAAAATCACAAAAGTGC